ATGACGTTGATGTATTCTGACCTAATCCTATAATGCTTCATGAATTTTACAAGCCAGAGTTGTGAAGCAGAATGAGCTCATATTCATATGTGGCCTTTAATAACAGCTGCAAAGAAAGCTGACCTCTTCTTAAATCAGAGAAAAAAACTAAATGCCTTTGAAGTTTATAATACTTTTTATCTATTTTATTTAATTTATTTATTTATTTTTTTTTTTTTGCATTTTGTGCTACATATAACATTTCACTAGAATTAGAAGTTCTCTATTCCTTAATATTACACATGTATTTTTTTTTTTTTTGACCACCCATCATATTTTATCAAAATTCATTCTGCTGTGTTATTTGATTATTATTGGAGACAGTGTACATGAATTCTCTAAGAACATTGTAAGATGAGATTCATCTTGTGTGTGGATGGTCATGGATTCTACACCCAGTGTGGGCCATTATACTTAGGACCAGATTCTACTCCCATTGGGGTCAGACCTTAGAACTTCAGATACTACTCTGATTTTGATTCAGACCTAGGACTTTAGATACTAACTTCCATAGTGGATCAGACCTAGGACTTCAGATATTACTCCCATAGTGGATCAGACCTAGGACTTCAGATATTACTCTCATTGTACATCAGACCTAGGAATTTAGATTCTACTCCCATTGTGGATCAGACCTAGGACTTCAGATTCTACTCCCATGTGGATCAAACTTAGGACTTCAGATACTATTCCCATTGTGGATCAGACCGAGGACTTCAGATACTACCCCCATTGTGGATCAGACCTGGGAGATACTACTCCCATTGTGGATCAGACCTAGGACTTCAGATACTGCTCCCATTGTGGATTAGACTTAGGAGATACTACTTCCATTGTGGATCAGACCCTAAGGACTTCAGATACTACTCCCATTGTGGATCAGACCTGGGAGATATTACTCCCAATTGTGGATCAGACCCAGGATTTCAGATACTGCTTCCATTGTGGATTAGACCTAGGACTTCAGATACTACTCCCATTGTGGATTAGACTTAGGACTTCAGATACTACTTCCATTGTGGATTAGATCTAGGAGATACTACTCCCATTGTGGATCAGACCTAGGACCTCAGATACTACTCACATTGTGGACCAGACCTAGGAGATACTACTCCAATTGTGGATCAGACCTGGGAGATATTACTCCCATTGTGGATCAGACCTAGGATTTCAGATACTGCTTCCATTGCAGATTAGACCTAGGACTTCAGATACTCCTCCCATTGTGGATCAGACCTAGGACTTCAGATACTACTCCCATTGTGGATCAGACCAAGGACCTCAGATACTGGTCCCATTATTGATTAGACCTAGGACTTCAGATACTACTCCCGAAATTAGAAACAATAAGTTCTGGAATTCTCTCTGTTTATAATTTTACTTGAACCAGGAGATGGTTTGAATTGGGAGTTCAGCATAGTCCTATTTGGATGTTACTGTCACAGAATTCAGAGAAAGTATGTGTCAGTTTTACCTCATTAAGCAGTACATGTATTTGATGTAAAATAATGTAATAATGTAACACCCGTGCATTTGGACTATTATCAGAGTGTTATCACCCTATAGATACCCAGTGTTGATCACTTCAAAGGCTTGACATGATCTGCTCTTGTTGATAAGAGTTAACAAAAGGTCTTCCATGTGATCAGGCTTGTAATCACTTGATGATAAAATGGAGACCAGCATTCCAGAGAGAAGATGATCATTGACTAATAGATGTTGTAATGATGTACAGTGTCTGATCTCCTATAAAACAATTTGTTGATGAATTGGTACTGCTTTGATCTTTGTGGTTTGGTGATTAATTTTTGTGATATGCATAATTAGGTCTCATTATCAGGGGTTACTATTACCAGGTATCTACTCACTGGCGATATATCGAGTGTTGATTGTATAATTTTTTAAAGCGGAAAATCTTATTTTGTTTCTTTGTAACAAGGTCCATGAAGTATGTTCATTAAATGGAGGTAGAAACATGGTGTCTAAAAATACCTGTTAAGGACCAAGACTTTAAAATAATTGAGATCTTTCTTATTTTTTATATCCTTTTCCACTCTTTGTTATTTATTTTGAGTATATCATTTAATGAATATTTTACCTCAGGTGTTAAAAAGTGGAAAAAGATTCATTTTGAAATTAGTCATCTGGTTGCCATCTCTTAAATTCCTATGGTACACTGGTCTTCCATTAAAAATTAAAATTTACTACATTTTGACATTGTTTGAATTACATGGAGTCAACACACCTGTGATTCTTATGTTGACCACACATGATCCATGGCAGCATTTGATGTATGTAGACTGATGACCCATGACTTCATTGTAAAAAACAGTAAAATTGGAATTTTTATAAAGAACAAATTTATAATAACATTCATTCACTTTCATTACTTATCATGATGGATTTTTTTTTTTTTTGGTGAAAATATTGATGTGTGTTTTTTTTGTTTTTTGTTTTTTTTTTAATATTGAATGATAATTAATGTGTTTCCGTGGAAGTTTTTATTTCTGTTAAGAAGCTTTCATGACTGTTTTTATGAAATATGTCTTTTATCTGAAAAAAGAAAACATACAAAAAAAGGTTGAAGAAAAGGCTATAATAGATAAGTTTATAAAAATATAGGGTGGGAAAAGGATTAAGGTGTTGTGTTGGCTATTTCTACCCTTTGTCTGCTGTTTCACTATAGTTTTAATCCCCTCTGACTTCCTTTGTTACGAGTCTACCACTTTTTTGTAGATCAGACATAAAGCTTAGCTGTGGCAGTTGAGAAGATAGTTTCAAATTCTGTCACTGTATCTTTTTTCTGTCACACCGTTCAGTTGATAAGCCCTGGTTACAGGGACGGTCCATTATTAGGACCACGGGACATTTTATCAGTTTTCAAAAAAGACGTTCTGGTCCTGTTGCCTATCATTGGCTTTCTCTGCATGTGTGGAAATGAAATCATCAACATAAAGTTACGCCTAATATACTCCTTATGAGAATCACCTCTCTCGGACAATGTAGCTGAATATATTATCCTTTTCACAGGATAATAAATTGGGCAGGTTTATTAAAAAAAAAAATCTATTCATTTCAAATCCTTGACTTGTTCAAATAAAATATTTGAAAAGAGTTTAAGTAAAAAACTTTTGCAATTCTTTTTTTACTGAGCCTTAATTTTAGAATTTTTTAACATACAGTTCATATCAGAAGAAAATCTAGTGTAATTTCTTCATATATTGGCCACGCCGATATTCTGTGCGAGATCACCCAGGTTAATTTTTCTACTGTGGGGTCAACTGAGTTCCCACATTTGTATTGTATAGTATTAGTTTTTTTTATCAGCCTCGGGCTCTGAATAACTCCATAAAGAGGCAATTGTTTTGGTTTGTATTGAGTTACGATCTCGACAGTATCTGATAGCTGGAGTAGAGTGTAGGAAATCAAATAGGACTTTATCAAATCTCCGATACAATCTAACATTGTTACACTGTTCATAACATCTTTATTTTGGAAATTAAATGATTTGTAATGGTCTTAAATTTACACTCTCTAACTAGAAAAAAAAATTCATTCATGGTTATAGGGTGGTTGAATTTCACACTTGCTCTGTTAATACTGTTTTGTGTAGTGAATTCCCCCCCTCCCCCCCCCCCCCAAAAAAAAAATGGCTGCATATGAAAAATTAAAATTGTCAAAGAAGATTTAGCAAGAAATAAAAAAAGATCAATTAAGTCAGTAAATATAAACTTAAGTTTTTTTCTCTTTAAGGATGTATGTAAATACCACAAACAAACTTTTTATCACAAATCAACAATATTTTTAATAGATTTATATTCAAAAAGGTAACCTGAATAATGTTTGCCAAGTAAAAATGGGAGAATTTTAACTTGAAAGATTTTTCATAAAGTTAAAAGTATGTGCAAAATTTTGTATAGAATTACATAGAAAATGACACAGAGTTGCATATCTAAGCACAAAAAAAAACTTACAATTTCTTTATATTTTAGGAATTTATTGTTTATGTCATTTCTAATCAAAATTAAACAGTCAAAAAATATTTATCAATCCATGCATCAATTTTTTTGTTTGTGTTATGTATCCTTAAGTCTAGATCTGAATACATGTTTTGAATAAATTTCTCTAGAATTTGATCTAAAAATTACTTAAATTGCCATATGGGATGTAAAACAAATTTGTAAGATAAAGATATAAAAAAAATTGTGTAAATTGAATAGGTCTAAAAAAAGCTTTTGATCCATATTTTTGGTGAAGAATTTTTTTTTATTTGGTCATTAATAATTTATTTTGTAAAAAATAAACCAAAAACTTATAAAATGAAACAAGATTGAATGGATTCCTTTGAGGTGAGACTAAAGTATGGCATGATCTCCTTAGCCTTGTTTCTCTCAATGACAAAAATATTAAGTGGTAATAGGTTTTTATACCATCAAGCTTGAAATTTTTTTGAATTTAAATTTCATACAAGGGAGTGATGATGGATGTTATACAAAACCTTTCATGGATGATGATCACATAAGTTTGATAAAAAGGCAATTTAATTGGCCCTTCTGGCTCTATATGCTTGAAATATCCTTGTGCATTTTATATCTCCTACATCAAAAAGTCAATTTGGAAAAGATTAAATTTTATTGAATTTTAAATGATTTGTGAGTAACTTAGAAATGTTTAATTTTGTGCAAAAATACATATATTTTTTCATGGTTGACCAAGGAATGAAATTCCACACAGATGAAATTGATCACAATTTTTTTTTTCAAATTTAAACAGGGTGTGTGACGTGTCACACAAAAATGATATGATATTATACCCTGGTCTGGTACTTTGTGGTTTGTGTTTTAAATTTGCCTTGTGGTTTTTGAAATCGTGCTATAAATGCCAGCCTGCTTCACACTGCATTAACCTAATCCTCAACAGTCACATATGTCCATCAAAAAATAGAATAAAAAATCTACATAAAAAGATTTTCTCCTTATTTATTTCACGCTTCTTTATGAAGCAGAATAATTCCTTGTTTAAATAATTAACATAGAAATTATGAAAAATATACTCTCCATTCATCACTGCCACTCATTTCAAAGTAACATCACATTTACCTAACAACACTTTATGTTTCTTCTCCATCAGCATTAAAAAAAAAATCCTTTTAGTTTGTGTCTTTGAATAAAACATGGATTGTTCACTGGACAATCGTCACAAAGACTGTATTTTGATTGTCATCACAACCATTTACACAATTATATGTGAATTCCGGCATCGAAATAATATTGACGGGGAAGCAAAACATTCTATCTGAACTAACACATAGTGAAAGTAGATCATCAGACATTTTCTATTTATCACAGACTCGATCCTGCTGAATGGCCGGAAAACTGGCTTTTCTCCTTGCGGATTTCCAGAGGTTCGAAATTATATAGGATTTCTTGTTTGATTTTTTATTCTGCAGTCCACAGATTCACACAAATAAATAGTGTCAACAGCATGTACTTGCTTTGTAAGCTAAATGGATACATCCTGTCCGAAAATTGCACAAGGATTGCCTCACTGAAATAATCCTCTACTGAGAGAAAGATAAAAATACACACTGAACAAAATCACTTCCATTATCTCTCTATCACAATATTCCATTCAGAAAATACTCCATGTTTCATACAACAGAATATGACATTCTTGGAGTGTTTGCTGGGTAGTGATGGAGAGGGGTGTGTACCATCGCAGTTGTCATAGTCAGTGGTCGACACTGCTGAGAGATAGAAGGAATATGGTTGAGTTTAACATCTGTCTCTATTTGCTGCAGATCTATGGCCTCCGGGGTGCTTTTTCTGTAAGAGGGTTGTGGTGGTAGGAGATCTATGGTTGATGGCGATGAGTTACTGATGAATGTCATGGTAATAGGATCAAGTTTTGTACAGGTAGGGGATGGAGTTTGATGAATGGCGGATGAGGACCTTTCACAAGCTTTCCTCCTGGAGGAAGGGCGACTGTTTCTATGTTTAGACTGTCGACTAGAACTGCGATAAAAGTCGCAGTTGGAATTTGATCGGTGACTTGGACTGGGTTGTTTAGATGAACACCCTTGTTGCACAGTCATTGTTAGATTTTCTCTGTGAGATTTAATAGGTTTGAACAGAGGCATATCTTGAGTATTGCTATTTTGTGCACTATGTAAGTATTGTCCAGATCTGGAACTTCGAAATCCGGAGTCCTCGGAATCTGTGGATGATTGGGAATATGGTCGCTCTCTATCATATCGGTACTGCCCTTCACTGAGATCGGACATTCCACTATCATTACACGTTTGGTAAAGCTGAGGATTGTTTGGCTGGTCTGGTGATAATTCACCAGTTGCCTCATAAGCTTCATTGTCCCTCTCACTTAGTAGTCTATCCTTCTGTTTAAACTGTTTGGATTGTCTACTCCACATTGGTGGAAGTGGAGGGGGTGGGGGAGCGTAGGCTCCATGGAGTTTTCTCAACCGTCCATGTGGATCATGCTTCTTTGTCATAATTTCTCTGCGTATTCTAAACTTTTGCATGCAGTAGATGAAGACGATGAAGAGAGCGATGGTGATGATACAGGGAATTAGGATTCCGAGGAAAAAAAGATAATTCACGGTCATTGCATCGGTCATGCTGAGTGGCTTTCAGTAGTGTCTGTCCTGGACTTTTTAGCCATACTGTGAGGTCAGGCTGTGGTAAGGTTGTCTGAAACATTCACCTGGAGAAAGAACAGAAAAAAAGAATATAATCCCAGATTAGACTATCACAAGTTTATTGTCATCACAAAGTATAATGCTGATCTGCAAACAGATTACATGTTTAATCCAGCATTACTTAGGGTTTCAGAAAATACATGATAAGAAGATAGACCCTTATACAACCAAATCCTGATGGACCACAGCACATCCTTATTTGTGAAAAATGAAAAAAAATCATACTTGACCTATTTTAATAATTTTTTGAGCAGAGTAAAATATTTTTTTTGTCGTCAGTTATTGATACGGCCCATTCCCAATGCAAATTTACCTTTCAGAAGTGAAATTTACTTGTACAGATATGAGATTATATTTGAGATAAACCAATTAGATGGCTGGCTGCTTTTTAGATTCTTTATTTCTTTATTATGTGTTTGTCACATAATGCTTCTCCTCATATCTTAATGCTGCCTTCACTAATTTCTCCATCTTGCATCTGTGAATGGGAGTCATTTCAATTTCCAAATCAAAAGGAGGAGATTTAAGATTGTGCAGGCTTATGCATGGATTGGGTATTGAAATGTTTGTTGAGGTACCCAGGCAGAAAGATTTAACTGAAAATGTCTTGTGACCATAAATCTAATAAAGCATTGCAGAATAATTACACTGTACATCTCGCAGCCTAGTAAGTTCGGCAGGTGCTCGCTGACTAATTTCACCATGGGTATAAGAGCTAGACATAGGTTAGGGGGTGGAGGTCAGGGATAAGGGAGGGGTAGGTGAAAATGGGGAGCTTTAATTAGTTAATTTCTCAGGAAAATGCAAGTCTTTGCCTGACTAGATTGAAGTTTGATCGTATCATTTCATGTAAAGTTAGACAGGTTCTTTGTTGTAATGGGTATTACTACACTGCACATTGGAGTCACAGATAAACATCAGATGCATTATTTGAGAGTTTCATTTTCACTGTTTCATTGACGGCAAATACACGTTACGAATACCATGTAGCCTGGCAAATATTACACAAATTTATTCTTGTGAATATAATGCATAGTGTGCACAGTTTGGGTATATGACTTTAATGGAATGTTTTTAAAACAAAACACAGGAAAAGATCTTGTGATAAGATTTCACAAAAAAAGATATTTGAGTGCATTGTTTAAATGCAGGTTTGTTTATAGCCATTTATATTTCGGTATATGTTTTTCTCGTAAGGTGCTCTTGTAAGTTGCTTCTTTTTAAGTAAAAATACATAACTACAGAATTTTCTTCAATGCGTAATTGTAATTAATAACATTGAAAATATTAATTTACGTTTCCTTTCCTCAATTGAAAAAAGTCTGAATTTTATTTGAGCAACCATACTCAAGATTTTTTTCTGATAACTTTTTTTCTCCATGACTTTGGTAAAACGCAAAAAAAAAAAAAAAAAAAAAAAATAGAAAGGAAGAAAAAAAGGAAATTATTTTAAAACAGGATCGAGCCTTTTTATCTTTTATCTTCCATAAATAATGAATGTATTCGAAGCAAAACAGACAACAGTCCATTCCCTGAAGCCATGTAAACAAAGCAGATATGCGTTGTTTCCAGCAAGGGCTGTGAATTTTATCCTAATCTGTTGTAAGCTCTTCCCTTTAGATCTATGTTTGGTATACAAAAACTTTTTTCTTGCACTGACACACACAGCAATCTTAGTGTCAAGAAATTGTCTCTCCTCATGCAAAATTTTTTCTTCATTTTTTTTTCTTGCATACAAAGACTTTTTATCCAATTTAGTAGGATGATAGGACAAAAATTAATGAATTTTTTTTACCTGTCATATTTTATTAAAGATGATTTGAAATTGCTTGACAACCTTATTGTTAGGGTACCATCAGATGGGCCATTGTTCAGGAGGCGGTTTTTCATTTCGTTTCTCGATTTAACAATTATTTGTCTTTTATTTTCATTGCGATGGTTACCCCATTACCTTGTTCCTTACAGAGTATGAAAATTTGGAGGGTTTAAATGTAATTTAATCTGGGAGACATTGTTAGAACATTTTTCCTTTCGGGGAGGCGAGTCTTGAAAAAGTGCTGTTGACTTTGCCATTACAAACTGTTTGCACAAATTTAAATCTAAAATCCTACATAATAACCAGCTTTTGTGTGAGAAAGCAATGCTCTCATATTTGGAAAAAAATTCAAGGCTTTTTCTCTTGTTTTGTTTGAGTCGCATTGAAGAAAAACCTTTTCAATTTACACTCTGTTCGTAAACTTTTGCATTTCTAAAACTCTCTCCCATTATGTGATAAGATTACAATAAAAACATTTAAATAAATCGCTAAAGAATCTGTGTTGAAAGTCTTAGTTTTTGTCGGTATTTAGTTCAAATACATTTACACATGAAGCACTGCACCTACACCAGAAATCATCCATTTTATTCATGATTTTGACTTTGTTAAACAACTGATCAATCAAATGTATCGACTTCAGATTTCAGATCCAGTTCTCTCCTTTGTTAAGGAATCACCAACCGTCCATGGCAAATGATCAATTTGATTTCATTAACCTACTTAATTTGAGGCAACTTCTTAATTACTCATTTCCTCAGTTAATGAAAAGTAAACAAGTCTTACCTGAATTTTTTACATTTATAGATCAAAAATTAAGAAGCAGTGAGTATCCCCTGACTTTTAGATCCAGTGTTTTTGTAACATGGTAGAAATCTGACATGCTTTTCCTCAAACAGAAAACTATAACGCCAATCAATACAGTCTACCTATATATCCACAATAGTGTTAAAGTCTCGAAGGATGATACATGAATGAATGCTCCACTCAGCAAGTCCAGAGCAACTGAAAACGATCCATGCGCGTCTCTTGTTCATGCCCCTTTAAAACACGCTACCTTTGGCACCTAGACTGTGCGTTGTGACGTTGTGTTCAGTGATAAATGGTACACAAGGTGATGTCTAAAAATACTCCTTAAAATCTTATCTTTTCGATCAGACTAATTTTTCAAAACTTTATTCACTTGAAAATCCAGGTAAACATTTTGTAGAGAGAGATGATATCATGGTTTTAAAAGACATTTGAACTGCTTTGACATATCTTAATTCAATACCCGATTTAAAAGTCAAAAAACCAATTGAGATAAAAAGAAATCTTTCAGAATTAAGATGGACTTCTGGTAAAATAAATTTTCACCCATCCCTCTTTTTTTTTTTTATTTTTAGACTAAAGACTGTAGCACTGGTTAGGCTGGTTAAGCAGTAAATACAATACTAACAGTGCATGAGAATACACTGCTACCAAATGATTATGTGTATTACATAAATTATTACAAACAGTAATTAGTCATAAAGATTCAGTCCACCTGGAACCCCTTGGGCCATACAGTTAAGCCCAGTTCTCACCTGCACAATTTCGTGAAGGCAATAGGTTCTCATTAGGGATAATTTCTCAAAAGTTTGTGAAGAATCAATATTTGCAAAAGATCTATATTCTGGACATTGTACACAAACTGTGTTTGCAGTCTGGTACACCCAAACAAAGACGAAACGCTATACCCTGAATGATGTTTTTCAAAAGAGAGAAAACATCTTTTAAATCAGTTTAACAGTAGCTGTTGTATTTGGATAGTAAGCTCAGTATGACTAGAGAACTGATTTAATTTTATTGAAATCCCCTCATATATTTTCACACATTATAACCCTGTGTGTTTTGTCTGGTTGCAAATCTAACAAGTTCTTTTTTCCCTCCCAAGACTTGTAGCTGTGTTACCATTGTAAGAAACATCATGGTATTGATTGTGAAATGGCCTCATTGATTGCATTAATGTTTGTGTAAACATTTTGATAAGAAAATAGGCTTAGCCCGTTGAATTTTGATAAACCATAGAATCCCCTCTCTTATTTGGCAGCTCTCTGATTGATTTTACTTAATTGGTTTTGATTGATACGAAAACAATTTGGTCAGTCTTAACAACAAATTTATAGGGTCTATTTGGGGCCATCAGAACTTTATTTGGGAAAACTTTTACCACTTTAAACTTCAATTGAATAGATTTAATTAATTGATTTAAGGCTTTTCTTTGGTAAGTGAAACCTTGTTTTATCAGGCCGATCTCTTGCTCCTGGACAATCTGTCACATTTTAGCTGTTTTGACAACTATAGTATGGTCACTTAGTCTCCGTAATAAAAGTCTGAAAGTGATTCATGAATTTATATCCTCCTTTATTCACAAATCAAAAACCAAAACAATTAAACCTCAGGAAATTCAGAATTGGGTAGATTAGAAAGAATTGAAAAGAAAATCTAGCCATGAACTTACCATAATGTAAGGAAATCCTTCATTCGCCGCAGTAATTAAAGAAAAATATCCTGAGTGCATTAGATATAACTTTGACACCACGTAAGTAAACTTCCAGAACTACTTTAGACTATGTAGACGTAATCAGATGTGGATCTGAGTGGTCTACAAACAGAAGGAGGAAGCAGAACTGTAGGTATTACTATTAGCCTCATTATCAGGACTTGGTCAGTTTTGGGAAGTACCTGTGAAAACAGGTAGACAATCACTCCAGAGGCTACAAACAGCTGTTATTATGTCACTCAAACTAATAGTACATAGTGTCAAGGCATATTACTGCAGTCAGTTCTCTCCCCTTTGATCTTTGGGGTTATCTACCTCGATTATTCAGACTAGTTAGTCCAGATAGACTGGTCAATTAAGACAGAAGAAATTGGATTATTCTGATCTTATTATCTGTCCAAGACACTTTTAGTTATTTATGAAGGCTTCATCATGCATTGCCTTATGTAATTATTATATCACAGAAATTTTATTGGGCAATTTACTAGATATCAAATTTTGCAAGATATCAAGGAGATAAAACTTTTAGCACTTTTCAAGCCTATGTAAAATTTGAATGCCTTTTTGTGAAGTTGATGAATTATGTAATACAGTATGTTTGGAGAAAATTAGTTTCTGCTTTGATATTATGTGATATGTATCTTTTAAATATGCAAATCAGAAATTCTATCTCTCATGTGGTGCTTGGAGCTATGTCATGTTTTTGTAGATGAAACTGATCAAAGAAGAAAGATAAAAAGAAACATGGATTTCTTAAAGAAAATACCTTGTCCAGGCATTTTAATTTGATATGGGACTCTTTTCTGCAATGCCTTAGTCTGAAGTGAATTTTGTTTCACTTATTCATGTAATATTCTCAAGAGTCAAGATTCAAATTAGTTTGAAAAGCATAATTTTTTGGAAAGAATATTTTATTTTTACATAAAAAATGGATTTTGAGGAGAACAGTTGATTTACAGTTAAACTTCTTTTTTGACCTTACTTGACTTTAAATTGCCTTGTTGAACTATACCGGCAATTTGTGCTGGGCGTTTGACACTGTGAGATAATTGTGGGTTGTAACAATATTTTTACAGTACAAACTATAATTACTGCTCAGAGCTTTTAAGAGTGGAGGGACTACAACAATGTCATAAATTTATCACACAAAAAAGGAGACCCTATCTGGGGACAAAGTCAATAAAAAAATAACTTGTTTGTCCATTCATCCCTTATTTCTCTTACACCGGGCCAGCTCGACAAACGTCTTGAATTACAAGGAAATGCTTTTGATATTAAATGAAACATCGAAGTTTGTTTTATAAGTTCTTGTACAGTTAGCCTTTCTTTCTAAGATGTGTTGCTAATATATGTCTAAGGGTAGAGAATCATGTTTATTGTTTATTTTAATTTATGAATACTAAGATTGATATAAATTTAGAAGTCATCTTTGGATTTTTGTTTACCTGCAGTGTTAGACAATTGTATTAATTTTCAATTTGTAAAGGCTTAGAGAACTGGATATTTATAAATAAAAAATGAAGCCTGTCTGTTAAAGAATGTAACCATATCAACACATAGCCAGTCTCACTTTGATCTTGCATATCATGTGACACCAATACACCAATAAAACACAAGGATGTTTAAACCTGTTGAATGTAGATCAGCACCTTAGTGTATAAAATACCAGACCACATGGCCACACCTAGTATTACTGACTCCATGTCCAATTAAAAATAGTTTAGATACACACAATTAAGAGGGGCCCAAATAGACTTCCAAAATATATACAGAAAGTGTTTTAAAAAAATACAGATTTTTCTTTCTGCTGCATTTAAAAAAAAATATTATTATTAAGATTATTGTTATGCATTCTCTAAAATTAATTTACTAGATTAATATCATCTATTTTGGGAAGGTTATATGGTAATTGTATTTAATCTAATGTCCAATTTTAAGTGCACGTCAGTGTTTCATGTGGAAAATTTTAAGCCATTGAATCATATTTTCAAAGTTATCAGCCATTGTCATCCCTCACAGAATATTAGAGATAGTGGGAGGCAATAAGCTACCCTATCATACAGAGTTATAAATACCATTAATGATTGTAAAAGAAGGAGATTATGTAAGTTTTTCATCATGAAGACCCCACCACCTCCCTGATCACAGCAACATAGAAGAGAAACAAGTTTAGGGCCTTAGAGCTAGTAATAATCAGGGCATTCCAAGATAGAAGGACATTCTCTAGTTATTACAGAGGTTCCACAGATTGATTTAGTCAATAGTGTTATGACATGTTACTGAATTGTACTGCAATAGTGCTATTTCTTAATTAAATATATTTGGTGAAATTGGTCCTTCAGGAATGCTAGTGTGTTCTGTCAAAGGATACAGATTGAGAAGAGAAAGAGTTTTAAATATCTGGCTGTCGAGACAAAGATTTTTAGAGACTGACGTCATGTGGCTGTTATTGTGATTAAAAATCACAAGTATTTGAAGTTTTAACCCTTGTCTGAAATCACTTAACCACACGAAACTCTTGATTTCTGCTTTAGTCTCATCAATAAAGATTAATGCACATAACACAAAAATGTTCTCGCAAATGAATTCTTTATCAGCAAAGATAAATTGATATTTGTGTGAAGTTGCCTTCCTGTATATGGAGGTATCAGTAGATAATGTCCCAGCAGGGAGGGACTAGATATCAACCACCACCAAAACAGGTACGCCGCACAGCAGGTACCACATTTAACTCCACTGTCTATCTGGTAGCAGCTAGGGCCACGTTTAATCAGTACCAGGCAACACGGACCACCAGGCCTAAGTTCCTGGAGACTGTTACCAATGACAGTCTCATCACAGACAGAGAATTCTGTCAGGCCTTATCTTATTAGATCTAGCATCACCAGGTAATTTGTCTGTTGCTGATATCATCCATCTACCCATGACAGAGGTGTAGAAATCTATAGGTCACATCAGAGATAGCTACAGTCATAAAACCCCCCTTCTTATCACAGAGTACAGGGCCGGGGGTCAACTCAGGTGAAATTTAGACGCCTTTTGTGGAATTTCATTATGAAGGATGCACTCACACCCTTGAGTCCTACCATTAGACAAGCATTTAACACCCCCCCCCCCCAAATTTGTAGACTTAGGGGCTCATAAATGTAGAAGCATAAATATAATACTGTCTTAAATTGATCCTTCAAAATGAAATGCTTTGAAATATGCTAGGTACATTATCTGTTTCTTTTCTCAACTCAACAAGAGGACTTCATAATTTATTTAGTTGGCTTAAATAAAGGAAATATACCAAATTTGAATAATTTCAGCAATTAATTTAAAATATTTTTATCTATTTTACATATTAAATATTGAAAAGGAATACTCAATGACATATAATTTTTTTTTTTGAAAGCAGAAATCTATTTGATTAAAATTCAGAATGATGGAATTGAAGTTAAAAAAGAAATAGAAATATTAAAAATCGAAAGATTCTAGGAATTTTTTTCACTTTAAATTAGAAAAAATATTATGTATCTTTTTGGCAATTATAAAG